CATTTGCTTGAATTTGTAAACAATGAAAGATGTATATTAAAGGAGAAAATATGAAGTATTTTTGATAAATTGAGATAATATGGCAAAGCGATCTGGTTTGATTGGAACGCTCACAGCTGTAATAGCTGCACCCATAGCAGCAATGAATAGATATAAATAAGTCTTGTCATGAGCAGAAATATTGCATGATTATTTGTATACAATGTAAATGCATTTTTAAAAAAATTAAATAGGAAATCTGCTTCCAACTCTTCATGATAGATAAATTGAGTTGGATAGTTAGGAAAGCATTAAAATATACACATTTATTTTTATTTCAAGTTTTTGATGAAGATATTTTTTTCTATCCCTAAATTGAAATAGGCGACAAATTTATGAAGGTGTATATGGTCATTGTTTTCAAATGACAAAACATGGAATACTTAGAGGTTGATTGTAGTAAGAATGTTGATATGGTTAAAAGTAGATAAGATGAGCATGCAGATAAGTTGTTTATTACTTATAGAATGAGATGCATATGGGATATGTAATAGGATGCAAAAATGATACACACTAAATTAGAAATGCAAGGAAGAGAAAATGTGTATAAGGTAACTGTATAGTTAATTAATGTCGTTATGCTGCCATCAATCTGTGAAGATAAATACTGGCAATAAAACTAAAAACGTATAAAAAAAACATGAAATTAGTTTATGTGATGAAGAGTGAGCATGTACCAGATTCTGCAGGATTGAATTCTGCACGGTCCAATGAATCCAAAGAACTATCTGATTGACTCACTGCTGAATTTGAAGAAGCATCACTTAAGTATTCGAAGTATCTGAGTGATGAAATTGGCAGAGTGACTGGCAGCTGAGTTTGATAACAATCCGATTTGTTTGATTTGTCTGATTGAATTGTTCGACTGATCGTCAGAATGAATTTTGGAGAGAAATGTGGTTGCTTTTATTTGATTAATGAAAATAGACCAAATGAACGAAATATAAACAAATCAACGAATTCACACGATTAATTTGGGATAGATAATCCCGTAAAAATGACTGGGAACGTGTCCGACATATGATGTTCATACTTAAGTCTCAAATGGTGCTAACAAAACGCTTCACAGTCTGGTGAAATTCTCTGAATTTGCGAGATCATGTTGGGTGGGATACATGGACACATGTCCGTAGTACATCATGACTTAAGCCACAAAGAGGAAAAAACAGACATTTCTCCATCTGGTGATTTCGGCCTCTGCTCGCCACCTTGTGGTCATGAATTATTCCAGAACGTTCGAGAATGTCAAGACGAAAGTAAAAACTGAATGTTGTAAAGAAAGACAACTTACCTGAAATAACAAAAGAAACTTGACACTGCTTCTAAGACGAAAATGAAGGCTTGCTTGGAAAAAGACAGTACAATAGAGAGTAATCTGGCGTGAATCCAGTTGATTTTAATATCATTTGATTGCAATAAATGATTACAGAAATTCGCATTTTATGACTGTTTTAACTGATGAGCAACGTTCATTTTTGTCTTCTAATTAAAGATAGCGATTTCAATAAAGAGTGATAGTCCCACCGATGGAAACGGGTTTGTGTACCGTGATGTAAAATTTCCAGTAATAAACAGACACGTGATAACCTGACACGTGATCAGGTTTTCCACAGAGGGCATAAATGTTACGTGAATGTAAAGTTACAACAAAAATAAATGCAGTTCGAAAATTGGACTTCTTTTAATGTATTATTTGATTACACACAACTATTATGCGTTCACTATGTTAGGCAATCAACAAAAATGTATTTGCGCCAAAGAAGTTTAAGATCTTCACCTTTTCATAGCATAAGCATGGTTTTCACCATCGCTTACTTGAAGTTAAATATGTTTGGGGTCAAAAGCATTATCGCCGCTGTAAATACTAATAGTCTCTCACCTATTGAGTATTATCACTTATCTTTTGTCGCCCAAGCAATTCACGTCCCAAATGTTGGTTTCTCGGGCGCTTTTAACCAATAACCTATGGCTGCTTCAATAGTCGAGTTTTGGAAGCTTTTACAGCTGCTTTCTGTTGTTCCCACATCAATTGTCGCGGGCTGTGCTCTGGGAATTGTTCACTGATATTGTCACTGTGTTGGTCAATGAATTCACCAAAGGAACTGGACATGTTTCCATCAAGAGTTTCACCAGTGTTTATAATAGCGTTTTGAATTACCTCACAAAAATGTGATATTTATTTCTTTTCAGAATTTTTTTCTTATTTTTCCTGATGCTGTTTGTTTGTTTGTCAAATGGTCATTACGAGTTTTTTTCAGAACATGACAAGCCAGATTCTCGCAGATATATCTGCCTGGCAATGTTGACAGACAGTTCCAGAATATGTTATTAGCAATTGACACTTAATATGCCTTACGGTCACAAATGAACTTATTTTTGGATCTCTAAATATCCATCGATTAGTCTCATTCAGCTGCCACCTAATTCGCCTTTCTTGTTATATTAATGTCAATTAAATTCTTTGAATGGCTCCATTCCTAACATGTCAATGGGAGAATAAGACAAAATGTCTCACTCAAAATGTATCGTTCGTGATTTTATCCAATCTTAAATACAATTTTCAGTACTGGTATATTTAATCAAAGACACTAGAATATACAGGGACAAACAACTGCAGTCTTTTCTTCGACATTATGCCCCTTCGCGATTTAAATACGATTTCGAACGTTCGACATGCAAGATTAGGTTTGAATATACCTAGACAAGTTGCTTCACAGATATACACAGACTAAAGAAATTTTAATTACGTTTTTCTATGGATGATTTCCTAAACAGGGACATACCTGGAAAATAATCGATTACCAGTAGAACATGAACCAGTAGAACTTGAACATCATATTATCAAAAAGAGTTACAAATCTGCTCTACGCCACAGTCTTACCTAAACTATTTACATGAAATACTCGGAAATTGAGACGACGCAGGTTCCCAGTTGCTTTCTAATAGAACGTAACGCAAAAAAAGTTATAGTTGTGCTATAATTAATTGCGAAAGATCATTTTATTCTCATTGATGTTTGCCGCAGATGCCTGTATTCTCTAGTGTGGTTGCTTTAATGTACTGATGTAAAATAGTTTACAATTCCTGAGACCACCTAGATACTAATTCGGGACAAATATAAGAAAGTAAGAGGTACACTTCTTGATAGATTACAGGGGGAGGACTGTGAACTCCTTCTTTGTATAACCGCGTTGATGAAACCACTAAATCCCAGGGATCAAGGAACAGTACACCAATACCACCAAATACGTAACGGGCCATCCTGTTCATATCGTAGAAAATCCAGTTACTGCTGTGGACTGATCGCACAAGCTCGCGATTTTTCACTGGATGTGCTAATTTTATAATCACTTTTGTATTAGGGCATCTTTCTCTCAGTCTCAACACTGCTAATTTAGCACGGTATATCCTCTCAAGGTACGCTCTTTCGGACCACAAGGCATAGTGATAAAAAAAGTTTAAGACCACCACGAGTTCTTTGGATCGACAATCTTGTTGTCCAAATTTGTCAAGTAAGTCACTTTCTAGTATTCGCAATCGATCTGCTGTTTTTCCGATTCGTGGACACACGAAATTATTTTCGAGTCCTTCGTAATTAAATAACTCCTTGAATGAAGTAACTAACTGGCCAATAGTAGAGTCACCGCTGACTATAAATAACTTATTTTGTAGACATTTTGAGGCTTCGGGTTTTGTCCATTGTTGACTTCTACAAACAAGTGGAATGAACGTATATCTGTTTTTCCAGTAGCCATCAGTGATTGGAATCGGCATGTCAGGACCACATGGAGGAGGCCTTGGAGGTTGTATTGAAGAATCTAGAAAGTTGACAGTGGGAGACGTGTTTTAATTAATGCAATCTATTACCCAATATCGTAGTGGTGTTTAATAGATAACAGACATCTCTTTATACATTTTCAGACTCCTATGCCGTCATATAACTTGTCTATTTAAAAAAAAACATAATTTTTAGAATATTCAGAAGAAATTGTGGTGGCCCGATGCTATTCTAAAAGTCAATGACATGCTTACAACCAAACGTTGTAAATTTAACCTCTATAAAAAACGCTATTATTATCAATTTAATACATTTTTAATTTAAACAGTCATTACAGAGTAATTCAATTGATGGCATAACATGTTTCTCTATGTATATTGTTATTTATTTAACTAATATTGTATTACTCGGCTAAGAACTAGAACATACATTGCCCGTTTTCAGTGAAACCAAACAATTAAAAACATGTTCGGAATGAATAAAACAGTGTCTTTGTGGTTGTAATCGCATTCATATTATCTCAGTATGGCCAAACACTTTGTACTAGACGTCACATTGACACAATTGCACTACTCTTTTCTAAATAATACTCTAACATAAACATTGGAAAAAGCAATTTGATTGTGATAGGTAGACGCAGCATTATGATAAGTGGTTGTCAGAACGACATATCAACATAGAATTATTCACGCCGGGCGTATTCATTCACGTCATACCTCCACTACTCACCTGTAATCTTTATTTTCATTGGCATGCCTTCAAGAAGTGTGTTGTGGTACGGGCTGCATACATAAATTTAAAACAAATTATTAAAAACCGTTCAGAATAACACTAATGTAGTTGCTGTTATTTCAAATTAAGTGGTGTTTTCTGGTGCAAATAAGTAAATGAATGCAAGGTAGCGCAGTAAGATGGGCATATCTCGAGTACAGTCACTCGGGTAAGCCATAAACAGTAATCATTACAGTTCTATGGTGCAACTACTAAAAAATAATATTCCCATTACCGGAAATAGGAGATATTATCATCAAATAGGAAGCAAACTGAAAAAGAGACAGCATCATGAATTTCCAGCTGTTGTTTCACTTGCATTTTCTTTCAGGAGTCAGACGGATCTCAGATTCATTGTCAGTCTAACACATATCAGAAATACTTACTCAATTCACATTTTACCAAATTTGTTATTACAAATACTAATATAATTACTAAAGAGGGACAATTGAATATTGTTTCGATATCTGACATGCATTGAGATGAAGGATACCGATTTGTTCAAGCTATGTAGATTCTGTAAAAAGAAGCATAGCATATAATACTCATAAACAAAATTTATTGTTTCTTGTTCAATAATTATTATATAATTATATAATTAATTATTATTATAACATATTGATACAAACTAATTGACGCTGCTGGTTGGATGAAAGCATCGTTCACAAATATATTATATTTGTTAACAATAAGCAAAACTAAATTGTTTCCCAGTGAATAACAAACACATTCACTTGAGGCTGGACATTGACGTTATCAATCCGATATAATATATTCAGGTGAGGCCTACCCATGTCACATGTTCATCAAATGTCACACTGTAGGGCCGCTGGCAGTGCTAGGAAACACGTCTTTTAAATGATAAAGTCCCGTTATTGTGCTTGCTTATTTGCATAACAGTGTGCGATTAATCTCTCATAACGGAATTTCCATTTACACTTCTTAGTGTTACAAAAGTTAGGCATAATTATTCTGCGATATTTGTGAAGAATTGTGTGTACAAAAGGAATCACAAACAGTATGTGATACTGTTAGGTAAGCTTAAAAATGAATTAGTGGCATTACCTTTGAAACATGTGGGCATCGTGCCTCATCACACTCGCGGCAAATTTATCTAAATCTTCGACGTACGAAATCATGTTCTTCAATTCCTCGCAACTGAACTGGTTGAGTTTATTGCAAATTAGCGAGGTTTTACCCAAGGAGTTTGTATTGACGTACTCGCATTTGTTAGACCAAACCCCTTCATTTGCCATAAAACATTGTGTTTCCCCAGATCGTGAACCATTTGTGTATTTTGCAGTGATGGGAAAGATCATTTCTTTTGTTTTTATCGCGTTTCTCAAAAATGTAATTGCTTCTCTCGTGAATTCAAGTGCGATGATCACCTCTGCAATTCCAGGCCATGGTGCATAGAAAAATACAGAGTAGGTTCCATTCCCATAGTCTGCCACACGACCTGCTGTACTTGCCGAAAACTGCCGATTCATCATGGTTGCCGTAAACGTGTCGCCACCCCTGTCTCGTTTACGACCATTTTCATCATATGTCTCGATAATAATATGTATGGATTTGTCCCTTCTGTATTTTATCGTCATTTTTATAAAACATAACCCTGAAAAAGAATCACAGCAGTGTGAGTGAGAAATACATGACGTGTTTTTGAAAAATGTTTAAACAAAAGTATTATTGTAATATTTTTACAAGTCATATATTGCTACCGGCCATTTTTTAGAGACTGTGTGACTTATATAAAAAAAACTAGAAATGTATATTACATTTAAATGTTAAGAGAATATTCGCCATGATGGCGTACTAACCACTAAGTAAAGACAAATTATTTGAACAATATCGGTCAAAGTATGTCTTTGAATAATCGTCGTTGAATAATCATACTCGAAGGTGATAATATGTCATCCTTGATCGTTCCAGGGTTTGCTATTTTCTAATTCACTAATGACACCAACAAATGTCTCTGTCTAGTTATAAAGTTGTTATAATACTTTTTCAAAAAACAATTATATCATAGATTCTAAATTTGTTTCATTCATTCCTATGACCCATACTTGACCATATTTTTTACCTTATTTTTTTCTCCTATTTTTTTTTATTATTTGATATGCCTAAACATATTCTGTATAAGCACTTGTTCGTAAAATGTTCCTTAAATTACTTCATGCGATAAATCCTCCAATTTGTGAACAATAACTAGTCCATTTTTAATTTGCTCTAATTGTTTTTTTTTTATTTAGGCAACTCTTGTTTATGATTAGGGAGATGGCCTTTTCTACAATTACATTTGCTTATTCTTACTGTACCAGAAACATTAAACTTTGGATTTTGTTATTCATGTTTCAAGCCGTGAAGTTAAAAAGGGTAGATTAATGTTATTATCACTTGTACGCCAGCTGAAAAGTGTCCCAGAAAATATCTTTGTACTATCAAAATTTTACATTACCTTGTTTGTTTCACCGATGTTAATCCCAGCGTACCATTTCCAATATCGAAATATTTCTCACTGTGAAATATATTGGCGTTGTGTTCTCTGTTACTGTATTCCCAATCTAGCTCATTGACTACGCCGATCCACTCCATTCCAAAGCGGTTGTAATTATTGTAGGGAAATAATATTTTAGCTTCATCTGTTACAGGTTCCTTCCTGGTTGCATGTGGTTCAGTTGTAATATTTTTATGACGACTGTTTGTGTTATTATATGTGTATACACTAATCGTCGATAGGTTGTGTCCAGTGCCACTTACTGAAGATGCGTTAACGTCGTTCTTAAAAACAGCCTCACTATTATGTCTTTCACTAATGTTATTATAGTTGTAGACACGAATCGCCGATATGTTGTGCCCAATTCCATTCACTGAAGATGCGTTAACGTCATTCATCAATACAGCCTCATTGTTACGTCTTTCACTACATTTATGATCACTGTACATTGACATTTTCTTGCCACTAAATTCCTGATAATAACAATGTATATGTATATATATTTTATGTAGCTTTACAAAACAGTATGGATTAAAAAAATATATTGGAATATTTCAGGACATGTCCGTACTCACAGTAAACGATATTACAACACCAACAATTACCCCTGTTACGAAAGTAAAATACAATCGTATTGTCATCTTGTTTGGTTTGTTTTTCACTGATTTTTTTCAGCGTATCTGGAAATGAACGAAATACACACTATGATTATTTTTTTACATAAAAAGCCAAGTGCACAAAACTAATGCTTTATGGTTATTTGCATTCTATGTTGGAATATAATAGTGTGTCTGTATTATGTTGTGTGCCTTGCATTGTACGCCTGCAACGGTAGACCTTTCAGCGTAAAATTAAACTATTCTCAATAGCCTACATCAGCCGGTGATTGAATACAGTGGCACACTCTTCAATCTGAATGTTTGTCAACCCTCGAAATGCATTCGGGCATACAGCTCTAATTGATGTACGTATTTTTGTTATGGCAGAGAACATTGTTTTAGAAATCAACGTTTCTGCAAACATAAAAATCCTTGTATAAAACCCGCAATGCCAAAATACGAGTGCGAATTATCTTCACTGCTCGATGTATATATAATTACTGCACGCCAGTTCCAGGATGTTTTGGGGTGCTGTGTCACATTTACAAATATTTTTCATGCTTTAAAGGTATTTCTATGTCCGAATTATATTCAAAATAAAGAATACCACCGCCAATTATACAGAATCCACACGATTGTTTGCATGTGTCGTGGATTAGACAAATTTTGTGGTATATCCACCTTCACTGGTGTTTTTTTTTTAGTATAATATATTTCATCCAAACTGTACAACCAAATGCACAGACATTTAGTTTGTAGTATTTATCAGCAATGCACAAACATCGCCAAGCCTGAGCAAATTAAACTCTACATTGTACTACAATGCAGCTTTTGCTTGAACCCATGTGAAGCTGCTGGCAGCTTTAGCTTAAACCCTTCCTTACTCCCGTTCTTTCAGTCCATACAAAATACGATGTACATGGTATGCAATACGTTGTTGATGTGATGATTATTTTGAACGTTATAAACAGTATCAATAACATAATGGGTTAGCGTGTATTGACGACATTGTTTGGTTTGTATGCACTGGCATTAGATTGTATGTAAGCAGTAGTCTGAGTCAGTGTTGTCCTCAGTATACTCTATCTGAAAAGCAAGAGATATGATTTTGGCGTCGTATTGTTGAATGTATAGCATGATAGAAGACGTCATGATATCGTTTGGATATTTAATTAAACACCATATTTTAACCACAGAATACATACCGGTTATGCATGGCATTATAATCGCGATGATAGGACATTTATGTAATCGGAATATAGTGGGTGATAGGGACATTCCATTTAAACATAATAATAAGGTGTATGTGGTCATGTTAGACAAATATATGTAAGGGATATGGTAAGAGTTGAACTTGGACATGAATTCATATTATTTAACAGCAACATAGGAATAGCAGATGTCAAAGGTCGAATTAGTAGCAAGAATACAACTTAAAAACAAAAAGCTAGTAATGTTTAAAAAAAATTATAGTCAGATTATCACTACCATACCATGATTATGTGTTAAGAATATAAATTAGTTTGTACAGTCTGCTCCGTTCCGCATGAAAAATTGATAAACATTGACAAACGTGTTGATCAAAAGTAAAAGCAATATCTGAGATGTTCTGCATGGTCCAAGGTTATTATGTAATGTTAATTTTACATAATACTGATAAGGAAATGTTTGCTCTGAATTTAGGGCGGGGACAATATCTATCACTCAAAGTATTACATGTAGAATGCTTGCTAAGCATTAATCCACAATAACGTATTATTTAACTGCTTGTCAGTATTAAACAATATATGAAGGCGAGATATAGTGAACAGAAGGACAGCGCCACCAGTATTTGTACCCAGTTTTTTTCATAAAGGACAGTGTGCCTTTGTATAACATTGAGACATAATTATTGCTGAAATGCTGACCTTTAAAGGATATTCTTCCAACAAAATGTGTATACCTGTTTGGCAGATGCTGTCCGGTTATCGAAATTTAATCGTGTTTCTTTTTCATATTTTGTTCTTACTGCCATGGTGTTAATTTTTCCTTCGTAACGAACAGCGAATGAGAATGCGTATTTTGCAATTATTTTACAGCCATGCAGAATATAGACTAGAGAATCTGTGGAATAGATCACGATTGACTAGATTAACCCAAAATTCTTGAACGTGGACCTATTTATGGAATGACAACGATGATGATTGGTTATCCAAAGAGCAAGGGCAATGACATGTGTCGGTTTGCTTGCGTGCACGTGCATGATTTTGCATGTGCGCAGTGACTGATTGGCAACAATATGGTCGTTCGCACCTGAAAATAAAATTACGATGTTGTTCACTGTTGTTGTATATATTCCTGTTTTTAGAACCAGTTTCCAATGGCCTGTGTAGCACTTCCACCATTTCGAGATGTTTTAAACTTAAACCGGGGCATTTGTCACCTGCTCAAGCGACAGACGGCCATAGTGCGTCTACCATCGTCAATAGTAAGTCTGTTCTTGTTTTATTATAAGCAATCGTCATGAGAGCGACTACAGTGAGATAACATGTATATATAGCGAAGTTTCACAATGGCGTCCCGCAATGGTCGGTACACATTTTTATTTTTTATTACATAATATGCTAAGCGTGACTGATAATTCAGTCATTGTCTACCCTGGAATATTATTTCGACAAATTAATGATAATAATTTAACTTCGAATGTTTGCATGGAGTAAGTTGTTCATCAACTCTTGCGTGGCACCATGTGTGTCTACCTGCTATGGTTAATTCAGTTCTCAGGTGGGTCAATAACACGCTCAGCTGCGCTCAGTCGCCAAACATTACATGTTACATGTTATGACGCCACTGGTGGGATTATTGTGTCGACATGTTAAATATATGCAGAGCGGATTTTAATAAAGAAGCTCCACTTTTTAAGGGAATAAGCAACATAATTGTTTTTTTTATATAACATTTAACATCAGTCTTCAAGTTGATTATACTTTTCGAGAAGTGGCGTGAATTATGCATAAATGAAAAAATAGATTAATTTGATTGATTAACATGAATACCATTTAGTATAGGAATTATTGGGAAATTTTGTTTTTGTTGAAATTTCCCTTTATTATTAGTTTTTTGGAGTGGTTGTTATAGATCTAATAATTTAAAAAGGGCTGTGGTCGTCGCGCCACGTTCTGTTAGTTATCGGACTCATAACGACGTACACAATGCGTGTAAAAAACATTGTTTTTAGATAAAATTCGAACACGCGCTAGCTGGCTATGTACGTCAGCTGACTGCCAATGCTGTAAAAGAAATATTACGTAAACATCACGTGTAAGAAGTGTCCCAGGATCTGGATGGTGCATGTCAACAATGGTCCGATGTTATTGAGTTAGTGGTGTCGACATTTAAGCGCGAGAATTAAGTTCCAGGCAATGATTCTGGTAAGGAATTAATGTTCAATACATACCTATATAGACACATATAAAGCTGCTGTTGAGGTAATACGATGATATACATTCAGCTTTTCCCCTAG